ATAATAATAATAATAATAATAATAATTAGTAATAATAATAATAAGTAATGGTAGTAATATTTAATAATAGTAGCAGTAGTAATAATAAATGACATTTATGCGTTTACTGCTATTTAGAAGCAAGTTGAGAAACTCAGCTTGCTTATCATCATGCTTAACTTAGACAGTGGCAGTAAATAGTACTCCTCCTCGGAAAATTCATTTTTTTTTCTTCAGATTTCATGCATCTCAAAGGATCAAAAAGATGTCCAAAGTCCACGGGGTTTTACCGTACTTTCTGAGATAATTCGCTTGAATTTCCGTTTATAGAAGTACAGGCGCCTTATTATTTTAAGGGAGCAGATTAAACGCTGAGAGAGACGCGAGGCCATATTTCAGTCCATTTTAATTCCGTATTTTTTTGAAACTTTATTTGCATAACTGACTGTTTCTTGGCCCTTGAACCAATTTTTATACATTTTGTCCCAGAACATCTCGCGATAGTTTATTGTTTGTTGTTTTTGTTAAAATTCCAGTTCTTGTGTTTTTGTTACTTGAAAATAAAAAAGAAGGAAATAGTCCTTTATGCTTGTCCCAAAATCTTTGTTGGATTTGAAGCCATAGAAACCCTCCATTGCTTTAATATTGTGCAATTCTTCCTTGTTATTTCCGAAGGAAAAATCTGAAGATTACTAAGCAACAGTTTTTGTCTAGAAATAACATTTTTCCCTTGCTTTAGTGTCATATTCGTTTGGCGGCATGCAGGTAATTTTTGACTTCTTTGCTGTACCATTTGGAAATTTCTTTGCTACAGCTTCCCTTGTCCCTTACACTAAGTATGTTATGTTATCGTTCCACAGGACTTTACGAAGGCATAAGCTCAAAGTTTCTTTTAAAAAAATTGAAGGAGCGATAGAGCTGGGCCAAGCCTCAGTCTTTTGCAGTTAATGAAGTTTTTTAAAAGCAAATGGTTCTTTTTAAGAATGAAGCGATGTCTATTTTATTAAGTCAGATGCCTTGTATTAGATGGAAATTTTTAGCTTTCACACTGTCATTGAGCTCAATGCTTGAATAACTCACTAATGTTTTTTGAAAGGAAGCTGCAGCACTGATGGTGTTTCTTTAAATCTTTCCGGAAGTGTACATGGTATTGGATATTACTTTGTTTTTGCATAAAATGTAGTTTTATTTGAAGAAAGGTGCTTTTTTAATTGAAACGGGTAGTAATTGTTTCATGTAAGTTAATAAACAGCCAAATAAAAGGATGGAACAGAATTTGGAAAAGACTTGAAGTTAATGATTTCTGATAATTTACAGAAGTCTGCTTCGACAGTTATACCCATTGAAACTGTTGACGAATTGGAACAGCAGGTGCGAATACGCTATGTTGAAAGCTTTATTTAATTGACCATTAGAAACAAAAACTAGCTAGGCAGAATGTTTCTCGTAGTCACTTGTCGCAGGTTTAAAATCGCATAAACGCGTTTAAGTACAAACAAAACAGTTTCGCAGTTATGCTGAAC